ACTCAAAGTCATATTTTGGTTGCCTTGGACTTGGTTTAATTTTCCTCAGTTTCAGATTGAACTTGGATATGAGTAGTTGGCGGTCTGTTCCACAATCATCTCCTGGCCTAGTTTTCAGAGCTGATAATTGAGCTTCTCCAGCGGTTTTTTCCGCAGATGTAATCAATTTGATTCCTATGTATACCATCAGGTGAGATCCATGTGTATAACCTACGTTTATGTCTCTTAAAAAAGTTCCAAGACCCTATAGAGGGGGAAAAATAGGAAATCCCAGCAGGCATAGAAGGACAGCAAGGGTCCTGAAATCATCCGCCGGATTTGAATTAGGATTGAGTATTATCTACAGATTGCTTCAGGTGGTACTGGTATTTTCACAGAATTGTGTCTTCCTATCCAGGAGAATGGTATGTTTTTTCACTTATGTAGTTCTCTCTTGGTTTTTTAGGATAATATTTGTAGTTTTACTTGAATAAGTCTTTTTTTATCCCTTTTGTTGTTGTTGTGTATTGTCAAGTTGGAACCGACCCACAGCTGGTCCTCTAGCAGATTCTCAGAGGTAGTAAAACCATGAGAAGAGTCACCCATCTTTCTCTCACAAAGCAGCTGATGAATTAGAACTTCCTACCTTTGCTTTGACAGTGCAATTCCTTATCGCTAAGCCACCAGATTCACTAAGTTCCTGATTCAGGCCATGGTCTTTCCAATCACTTGATATGTATCTGAAAGCTAGACAAGGAATAAGGATGACAGAAGAATTGATGGTTTTAGCTGTGGTGTTGGAGAAGAATGCTGAATATCCCATGAACTGCCAGAAGAGTTAAAGATATGCCTTGGAGAAGGTGGAGCCAGAGTGCTCCTTGGAGGCAAAGATGATAAAGATTTGTCTTACGTACTTCGTGCATGTTGCTAGGAGAGGCTATTCCTTGGAGAAGAATATCCCTCTTGGAAAGGTGGAAGGTTGGCAAAGGAGAGGAAGAGCCTCAATTAGGTGGATTGACACAGTGACCGCAGCAATGGACTTGAGTGTATCAGAGATTTAGGTCAGGGTTCTTATCTGTTGTTCAGAGGGTTGCTATGTATGATTCATACTTGACTGGAGAGCACATAACAACAAGAAACCACCAGAAATCCCTTTACATCCCTAGTTAGACCTAGGTATTTTTATCCCTTTAGAGGCTGTTGTAATTGGTATTGTTTTCTTGATTTTTTTTTAATTCTTGTTCACAAAGAAGAATTCAACCAGTTTTTGAATATTGGTCTTGTACCCAGCTACTTTGCTGAACCCTTCTATTAGTTGTAGTAACATTCTTGTGAAACTTCCGGGATTTTTTTCTCATGTTCAGGATTGTATTATCTATGAATAGGGTAATTTTTTCTTTCCTCACCAATTTGGGTGATGTTAATTTTCCTTTCTTGTCTTATAGTCCTCTCTAGAACTTTCAGTGTAATATGTATCAGAGCGGGATAATAAATGGACATCGTCATCCCATTGCCTTTCTCAAGAGAAATGCTTTAAATCTCTCTTCATTGACAATAATGCTAGTTCATGTTTTATGTATATATTTATATCTGTTGTTGTGTACTGTCAAGATAGAACCAACCCATAACTGACCCTCTGGTGGGTGCTCAGAGGCAGTTAATTGCACGGGAGGACATTGCCCCTCTTTCTCCTGAAGAACAGCCAGTGAATTTGAACCTCTTCCTTCTATTCTAATTTTCCTAAAAGTTTACCAAGAAAGGATGTAGTAGTATTTTATCAAATGCCTTTCTTGATACTGGTGGAGATAATGTCATTCTTTTCCTTTGCTTTATTTATGAGGTGAGTTATGTTGATTAATTTTCTAATGCTGTACCACCTTTGCGTCCTTGTTATGAATGCTTTCTGACAGAGACACAAAAATTCTACTAAAATCCTAGTCAACAATATTCAACAACATATAAAAAATTAATCAGCTTTAATTTTTTATATGTTGTTGAATATTGTTGACTAGGATTCTAGTAGAATTTTTGTGTCTCTGTTCCTGAGGAACATTGATCTGTGATTTTCTTTTTTAAATAACTTTTTATGCTGGCTTCATATAATGAAGTAGGAAATACAACCTCTTAGTGTATTTCTGTTTCTGTATTAGACTGAGAGTGTGCTGGATATATGTTCAAGTTTTCTAGGCTTTTGAATTTGAGAGAATGTAACTTTCCACAGTATTCTATTATAGTTTTTATCCCAATTGGTCCTCTTGTCCTCAACTGATTTCTTATTTTGGTTATTGGCATCTTCTCATTCCCCTCTCCCTTTATTAATTTGGCCAGTGGCTTGTTAATTTTATTAATCCAGTCAAAGAACCAACTTCTAGATATTGATACTTTTCTGCTGCTTTCCCATTTCCTGTTTCCTTTCCTTCTGTGTTGATTTCCCACCTCCACCCCCTGTATTCTGATGGCCGAACACTTCTTCTGCTGTACTTTTTCTCTCTGTTTGAGTTGTAAGGTTGAACTACTGATTTTTGTCACCTTTATTTTTTGGTATGTGCTTTATTGCACTTAATACACCTCTTAGTATTGCTTTTGCCACTTCTCCAAGGTTTTGCAAAGATGTCTTTGTTTCTAAGAAATTAAAAATTTTATCTATTTGCACACATTTTTTACCCAAGTTACTCACTTTCCATGTATTTCTTTCCCCCCTTGTTCTTTCAGTTATGGGTTTCTAAGTGTATAGCAGCTCTGGTGGCTGTGTGAGTAAGGAGTTGTGCCTCCAACCCACAAGGTGATGGTTTGAATCCACCAGCTGCTCTGAGGGAGAAAGATGGACAATCTCCTCTCATGTGATTTATAGTCTCCGAAAACCTTCTGGAGGGTCAGGTATGA